TCTCAGATCCTATCTCTAGTTTAAAACTGAGTTAGTCGATTCTAAAGAATCGAATAATTTGAAAGTTTTTCCTAAAGAGGGTGGCGACTCCAAATTAAAAATTCTTACCAATGTAAGAGATCTTTTTACAATCCCGTTTTCAAAAGGATCACCATTTTTGAGGATTAATAAACAGGTTTAATAAAATAAAATCACTTTACAAAATAAAATCAACCAAGCTCGTTCCATTTCGATTCTTTCCTCCCATGGAAAAATCCACTCGTCCTCAATGTGGCTAAAGAAGTTCCTTCTTAGCGCATGCTGTTATGCTGCAGTTTTTGTACAACTAAATGGAAGAGGAATAAAGAAAGAGGGAAGAAGAACTTTATTAAGTTTTAATAAGGTGAAGTGATTATCATTTAAGAGAGCAATAGTATAAATTATTAATGATTTTGAATTTGATGATTCAGATAGTTACTTCTTGCAGACTCTGCTAAAAGATATTATGAAAGTGATAGTTACTTAATGCCAAGATATTAATGTGCTTTATTTGCTCATCCTAGTGCAAGCTTAATTAGGGGTGTGTAAAACTACCAACCGAACCAAATCAAAAACCAAACTAACCAGTTTTAATTTACCTATTTGTTCGATTTTCAACTAAACTTGTTATTCCGTTTGAATTGATTTCATAGAACTTTATTGGTTAGGCTTAAACTAAAATGATATAAAAAAAAGCGATCAAAATAAACCGAACCAACCGGTCGGTTTAAGTCACTTTAATTCAGATGGCAATTTCAATTTGGTTCGATTTATCATCAAAACAATTTGATATATATTTTTGGCCTTGGTTCTATTCAATTTAATTTGCTTACTCCTAAGCTTAATATAGAGACGTAATGTTCAAGTTTATGAAGTTGAGCTCAAGAACATTGATAGTTCTTTTTGGAGTCAAAGTAGTATATGACTATGAACCAAGTATAACTATACCTTAGGTTATGCAGAAAGCATATTTTTCTAAAACATTAGAGTTAGAGGTGACCAAACAGTTAGATTGTTCCAAACAGAATCGAACTAAGGTGAAAAATGTAAATCCTAAACTTTTCAAACTTAAAATTGAATCGAACCAAAATTGACATATGAACTGAACCGACTTAATCAACCATCTGATTCGATCAGTTTTGATCGCTTTTGCATATCGGTTCAAATTTAAGCATAATTGATTAATTTCTATAAAAAAAAAAACAAAGCTGAATTAAGAACAACTTTGGTTTAAACTGACTAGCTCGATAAAACTGAATCCCCCTTGAGCAAGCGGATCAGAACTAAAATGGTTCGATTCGTTCGGTTGTTTTGCATACCCCTGCTTAGATTGCTCTAAGAAGAGGAAATCCTCGGCTAGCATTGGGTACTCCAAATGTTAGTTAGCTCATCAATAGTACTCAAAACCATAATGTTGCATACCATAAAATTATCAAGTAGAGAGTTGAATATGCAAGGGAGTTATCCTTTCATTTTACAAAAGATTTATTTATATGGTGAATTGTAGCCTTTCATTGGAATCTTTGTGTTTCATTGCGCACAAATTTCTTACTTTGAACATTTTTACATGGGTTCTTAATATAAAATGGGGGAATGTTGGAGAGTTGTACAGTACATGAAATTTGAAAGAAAACTCAAGGAGAGCTTACTTATCTTATATAGGGTCCAAATCAACTAGATCATAACTTACTAACTCAATAGTAGCAGAAGTAAAAACAAAAAAAAAAAAAAACAAAAAAGGAACACTAATATAGCCTAAATTGCTTTCAATTTTCTCTACAACCAAAAAGTGTTTGTTGATAAGATTCCATAAGAGATATGGAATGAGAGAAAGAAAGAGACGGAGAAAGGTTGAGTTTGTGTGGAGTGATAGAGAGAAAGGAGAGGTTTTGTAGAAAGTGTCATCAGATACCGAAAGTGGTAAAACAAAAAAGTGAAATATAAGTTGAAGAGAGAAAAATCATAATGTTATGTCTTTCAAGTAATGTATTTCAAACTTTACTGTCATGATCCATTACGGAGGGCGGAATTGAAAACTAAGATCTAAATGGACTTAAGGCATCTAAAGCCCAGAATGACCCTATTACACTATAAAACATTCATGAAGCCCATTAAGATATACACCTAGCAAGTCCATTTCAATATAAATAATCAAATATTGAGCTGAGGCCCATTTCAATCATAAATTTAATCATTCAACATTTTCACAATATTCTAGCTATGTTTCATAATCATTCAGTCAATCTTCATAATGGTATTCATGGAACTTAACAATCAATGCCTAACGCAAGATTTCATTCTAAATTTAATTGAGAATATCTACAAAGTACACAAAGTAAAAGAGTACAACTGAGAAGAACCTATTAATTAACTAAATTTCGTACTAACTAGCTCTCTAGAGAAAGAGGAACAGCGCTTCTAGCACAAGTGGAAGTAGTTATCGGATTTCCTAAAAAATTAGGTGAAGCGGGCATGAGTGTTTCGGCTCAACGAATATTAATATATAACATGCGGTCTAAGCAATCAGGCGTGCGACAGCAGGGTTATAGCGTCCATAATTGTAGGCTATTTACGTCTTTTTCTTTTCCTTTATCATTTCGATACCCACCGTTGGAGGAACGTGGCTGATTCCCAGCAACAGCTGTATCCATGGCCACCTAGTGGTTCTGCTTTGTCCCAAGCATCTCGCACAGCACAAACAATATCACAGTGCATCCGTATCACATTATCATGTAACAACTTAAAATAATTCGATCAATAATCAATAAATGTAAGCATGATTATATTTAATTAGAATTAAATAAAATGCCATGCATGAAGTGACTATATATTATATATTATAACTACCCACAATGGTTTCATTTTTCCATTAATCAACTCCCACAAAATATCACCTCATAATTGTAAGGACTTTTGAGAAAATGTCACGTTCAAGGTTTCACTTTTAATTAAATGTCATCAAAGAATACTTATTAAGATGATAACAAATTACGTCAAAAAAATTTCAATAATACCAAAACTGATTTTGCAAGAGAAACGGAAAAAAAAAAAAAGAAAACGCTAGAAACACTTAAAAAAAAAAGAAACATTTGAAAAAAAATGACAATTAAATAGTTTGGCCCAAACCAGTGGGGCCGAAGACCTTCTCTTGATGGTTCCCAAGCTCTCTCATCGAGAAATTGTACGTGCTGCATTAATCTGGACCGTCTAAAGTCTGATAATATACCATCTATGATCACGTGGCACCGTAACTTGGTGGACAGATTCCCTTTCCACAACAAATATTACCGTCAACCGAACAGAAAATCTCGCTAGGATTGGCGATCTTTTAGCCCAGCAATGAGTAAGTTTTTCTCTTTTTGGTAAGATCGATCCTTTATATAGAGAAGCAAATCGGTTTTTGTCATTTGTGGCTAAATGGATTGTTATATTACAGAATAAAAATAAATGAATAAGTGATGATGTTTGATTGCGTTAATTGCTATTTGTGCTATATACCATATTCAAAAGCTAGAAGGAAATTATTTTTGCATTGATTAAAATGAAATGTCTGTTATACTGAATTTAATATGTGTAATCTATAGATATATGTGTTTTCTTGTTGCAGATTGAACTGCTTAAGTCAGTTCTTTGCATTTCATTTTTCTGTTATTACTTCACCTGATAAATGGAACTTGGAAGTTGTGATCCTCTAGTTCAGTTGCAATCTAACTTTATTTTACAAATTGAAAATAAAGTAACAAAACTAAAAATGAAATATGAAGTAATACAGTGACAAAAAAAAAAAAAAAAAAAACCTAAGTAACAAACAAAAATGAATATGAAAGTAATAACAGTGACAAAAAAAAAAAAAAAAACCGAAAAAAATTAAAATTATAATTAAATGAAAAACGAAATTTGGTATAAAATGAAAAGTTAAAAAAAAAAAAAAAAAAAAAAAACCGAAAAATTAAAAATTATAATTAAAAATGAAAAACGAAATTTGTATAAAATGAAAAGTTAGGAAAACAAAACAAACAAAAATCCCAGGTATATATGTGGAATAAATTTGTAGTTTCATTTCCATAATCAAAACAATAAATAGCCGAAAAACTATATTTTCTGATTCAACGGCAAATATATACACGCACATCGTATTTACTATTGTATCAAAAAACCTATATATATATATAAGCGCGCGTGCACACATAACAATTCAAAATGCAGGCAAAATTCATAGAGTAATCAATAAAATAACTAACATGAAAACTTAAAAATCTATAAAATAACTAACACGAAACTTAAAATATAATCAACTTGACTGTAAAATAGCTCAAGAAAATTGGAATCTAAACAAAATCAAATACACAAAAAGAAGGAGAATGACAGAAAGAAAAAGAACAGAAGAGAAAAAAAGAAGAGAAAGAAGATAAAAATGAAAAATGAAAACGAAATCGTAGAACAGGAATTGATTTTCCAATGAAGAATAAAAACAAAAACCATATCATAGAACAAGAATCAATTTTCCAATGAAGAACAGAAATGAAATGAATATGAAATCGTAGAACAGGAATCGACTTTCTGATGAAGATCAAAAACGAAAATGAAAATGAAATTGTAAAATAAAAAATGATTTTTCAGTAAGAACTCTCACGCATCCTGGTTACGACAATGACTGTCATACTAATTTTATCGCCGAAGGCAGAGTCACATGCCATTGAAAAAAGAAAAAGAAGAGAAGAATAAACATAAATTTTAAAGTGACAAATGGTAGCATCCAAATAGGTAATAAAAGCCCAATTAAGTAAAAGAGTAATAACTAAATCACTAATAAAATATAACTTTTCATAAGGATTTTTTAAAAAAAAATTTCTTGTGGGCATTGGCCTCCACCTCTCCACTAGTTCTGCCTCTGATGCTATTATTGATTAAAGGTTAGTAACTTTTGGTTCTTAGTTTATGATTTTCTACACTAAAACAATTGTATTTTCAAAAATGGTTGATAAAACAAGTAAAAGTTACTTTTTATAATGGTGTAACCTATTTGTTTGAGATATCAAATAAGAGAAAAAAAAAAGCTGTAACAATAGATCTTTATTCTTTGACAAAGAGAAACTAAAAACCAGAAATAACAACTGTGCCAAACTAGTTAATTGTCATCATCATCCTTTTCCACAGTATGCTCTTGTTCTTTTGCCACCACTATCTCACTTTCCTTAGCCTTGTCTTCCTCATTTTCTTTCTTTTTCACTTTGAGAAATTGAATTAGCTCAACAAGCACAGTCTCTATTTCATCACTTCTCATAAGCTGCTCTGCAACTTCAGCTGGGGTGACTTGTGTTGTAGAAATGAATTCCTCAATCTGTTGAAACAAGAAATGATCATTAATCCCAAGGTAATTAGAAGCAAGAAGCCTAAACCCAGATGGGGTGCAATAAGACATGTGAACATGAACATCCATTCGCCCAGGCCTCAACAATGCTGGGTCAAGCTTTTCTTTGTGATTTGTAGTTAAAATTATGATTCTTTCATCTCCACAGCTTGACCATAGCCCATCTATGAAATTCAGCAATCCTGATAACGTCACCTGTCGGAGGATTTAATGGATCAACATAAAATTTTTATAAAGCTCAAATAATCCAAAGGGGCTTAAAACACACACACACACACACACATACATATATATATATATATATATAATTTAGTAGAATGTAATTTATTTTACTAACTTCTACTTTAAATTCATTAATTTAGTAATGTTTATTCTTTCTAAATTTGAAGTTTTTTATAAAATTTAGTAGAATGTAGTCAAAACAATTCTTTATTCCAACCATAAAATAAAAGTTTAAAATTTATAAATAAATAAATATTTATATAAATTCCTCTATATCATACAGCTATCTCAGTTTCCAAATTCTGCATCAAATCCCAACAACACGCAACGGTCAAATTAAGGAGAGAGTGACAAATTAATAGCTTTTAAGATAAATCACCATTAAACCTGTCCTTTTCTTTTTTAAAAATAGCTAAATCTTTAAATTGTGTTTTGATGGTTTCACACAGGACAATTTGGTTCATCTTACCAATGTAAAAGAATATGTGTATATATATAAGGTTAACCTAATCCCGGAAGGTACCCCACATGGCTTGGATTCAACGTTGAACTTTCAACATAGCCTTACAGAGGTAGCAATTAATTACATAACACTGTTAACATAGTCTCCCCATCAAATCAAATAAAAAATAACCCTTTAAGAATATAGCATAAAAGTTTTTGGTACTCGCAATAAAATATGTTTCCTAAGATCGAATTTATATTCTTTTTTTTATAAAAATTGAGATCGCTTAATTTTTATTGGTTAAATTCTTAATATTTATGTTTCGTCAAACCATTCAACCAAAATAAGATCGAAGGAGTATTAAATATTTGATTATGTTCTATGATTAACCATTTGATAAAAGTTTATGATTTCACATAATATAACAGTATTAATACAAATACAAATGTTAATGAATTTAAGATATAGATAACTTGAAATTTGAGTCCCCTCATTCTGAAAATATTAATGAATTATTAGATTATCCATATTCTGGACTTAAGTGGATTGAGACTCTTAATATACCAAAAACCAAAAAAAAAAATAATAATAATAATAAACAAAGTAATTAAGCTTAAAAAACAGAAGCATATATACCTGTTTTTGTGGTGGAAAACTATGACTATGTCGTGCCTCACTTGCTTCAGCCAATCGATCCTGCAACTCAATACTGCAATCTATATCCTCAACCACCAAAATTGACCGATTTGCAGTAGAAATAAGCAATTTTCTAAGATCAGAATTACTGTGCAACTCAGTCAACTCCAAGTCATATATATCAAAATTCAAATAATTCGCTATTGCAGCAATCAAGCTTGATTTTCCAGTCCCCGGCGGCCCATACAATAAATACCCTCTCTTCCATGCCTTCCCTACTTTTCTATAATAATCTTTCCTTTTCACGAATCTTTCAAGATCTTTCAAGATTCTATCTTTAAGCTCAGTTTCTAAAGCAATGGTTTCGAGAGTCGCGGGATGATCAAGATTCACTGGTTTCCATGCATCTGCTAAATTGCCATACATATGTTGATAGTCTACTGTAAAAATCTTTAAAGTCTTCTTTTCTTGAACTATAGATTTTGCTTCTTTAACAATATAATGCAAATAAGATTCAAGAACCATATCTTTTTGTTTCTTTGGAAAACTAACCTCAAAATATCTTTCTTCTGATCTTAAACTGGAATTATGATCAAAAGGATGGTAATAGTTTCTTGATTCAACTTGTCTGCAAACAAAAACCCATTTGAATTTAACACCTTGAAAGATATCTATGATTTCTTCATTTCCTTCCACTTTTACTGTAAAATTGTTTTCTTTTTCGGATTTGCTTACTTTGAATCTTTGTGTTGATGGAGAGATTTTGCTACCCAAATAAGTCTCTGCGGCTTCATACATTTGGTTGTGTACAAAACCATCAAATTCGTCAATGACCATTGTGATTTGGGGAGAGAAACGATTAAAGAATTTGCGAACATTAGAAAAAAAGTAGTAATGGAACTCATGGGGTAAGATATCTTGAGCTACTGATCGCGCAAGCATAAAGGTGGCTGCCACAGAGGCCGCCGTGGATAGGACTGTCTTTGCGGTGGCTAGATTGGTTTCAGTTGAAGAGGAGGCCATCTTGTTTCGGTATGGGGTTTCTTTGCGGTAATGAAAGATTGCAGAGATGTTGATATAAATGGAGAAGGAAAGAAGACGAATGAAAAACTAGAATAAGAAAAGGTCAATAGTGATTGCTGACTTGAATACAGTACAAAATTGCAATTCCAAATGCATGATTATTATTATTATTCCTGGATTTTTCCTAGAAAATGACCGCTTTTAGAGTTGGAAACATAAATGTTTCAACCTTTTTAAGTATAGATGGATTATATGGAGAGGCAACTTGGATACGAAATTAATAACCCAATGTAGAAATATAGATCAACACTAATTAAGGACTCGTTTGGAATAAATTTGCTTTAGAAAAATTTATTTGAAAGTTTATACTTTCATATTTAGTATAAATAAAAATATCCCTTTTATTTTTAAAAAATAAATTTTTTGGAATTTCAATATAATAAAATAAAAATTTGTGATTTGCAAATATATTCTAAAGTTTAAGTTTTTTTATACCGATTAAAGAGTAAACTAAGTTTACAAATGCAGAATAAGAAATATTATTGTCGTTGTTGTTATTATTATTTAATTACATCAGGGTACATATGTAAGTTTTTGGATAATTGTTAACCATTATCTACCATATTAAATGGGTTTAGTTGCAGGTATCCGTGTGTACTCACTACTATTAATAATTATTTTGTTATTATTTCCGTTCCATAATATTTGTCTTATTTAATAAAATAGTTTGCTTAAAAATGCTTGTCACGTTTAGTTTCAAGGAGTAATAAATTTTTTTTTTCATGTTTACCCTTTGTTTATGATCAATAATTATCACTTTAATTTAATGATTTTTTTAGAAAATTAGTATTAAATTAAGGGTGATATAGTAAATTTACTCAATAATTTTTTAAGGAACGTAAAATTTTAAATGTAACAAGTATCATGAAATACGGTAATATAATTTAAATTATTTAATTATTAATTACCGTGTGAAGACCTTAAATCACATATAAAAATCAAATCTTGACTAATATTATGTATAGCAAACGTACATATTAATTGAGCCAAGCCAACTAACATTAACAAAAATTTCTTACCATGCTTGTGCTTAAGAAAGAATACGCTTATTACATGAATTCGCTTTGAATTTTGCAATTTTAGCTTTGTGGCAATTTGAAATTTACAGATAATCTATCATACACTTGAACTTGTAAGTTTTGGTAATATTACACACATTTTCGACACTAATATCAATAATTTTTAAGATTTTAACCTTTTATTTATAAAATATCGACTTGATATGTAGTTAGCACGACTTTTGGAACAATAATTTGTATAAATTTAACTTTTTGATGAGTTTTTAATTGATTTAATTTTGCAAGTGTTCGATAAAATAAATTTAAAAATTAAATTATTTAATAGAGATAATTTTATAAATTAAAGTATTTGAAAGGTCAAAGTAAAAGTTGATGATGTCATAAGATTAAAATAACGAAGTTTAGAGATGAAATTATATATTTGGCCAAAAAAGGATACTTTGGTTAATTAACAACAATAATTCTATAGAAGGTTCTAAAGTATGAAGCCTTGGAACTTAGGTGTTTAATGGAGTATTGCATGGGCAATAAGCAAACGAATAAATGAGACCAATTACTCTCGGACTAGGTTTTCTATGCGTGATGTTTGGTTCTTGGACTTGGGTTTTCTATGCGTGATCTTTGGTTCTTGGACTTTGGTTTTCTAAGCTTATTCTTCGGCAAATATCCATTTATCTCCGGAAATTATTTTTCAAGAAAAATTTTGGGCAAATATCCATTTATTTCTGAAAAATAACTTACTTTTGAAAAATATTTTTAAAGGAAAATATTTTTTAAAATAATTTATTTTCCGTTATTTGGTTACAATATTAAAAATTAGTTAAAAATATTAAAATCTTTAACTCATAAGACTATAAAAATATAAATAATAATAGAAATTTCGTATTTTTAAAATTTTTTTGTTAAATATGAGAAAGATATAAAAAATAGTACATTATGAAAGTCGTTGGTGACTGATAGTGGTGGCCGACAATGGCCTATAGCCGGTGGTGATGGCTAGTAGTGAACGTTGATCGATGGTAATAACTACCGATGATTAATAAATTAAAAAATATGAATTTATAAGGTTTTAATAAATTTATAAATGTCTGAAAAATGTTTTTTCTCTCTTGAAAATAAGAAGTCATTTTTCCTTAAAAATGACTCAATTTTTCTTTGACCAAGAAAATATTTTTCATTGACTTACTTTCTTGAATGCTTCAAACAATGAAAAATATTTTTCTGAAAATTATTTTATGGAAATAATTGGTGTTATTTAATAATACATAAGACAAATAACTACTCCCTCCATCCCAAAAAAAAAAAAGTTCACTTTCTATTTTCACACAGATTGAGAAATAACAGTTATTACGGTTAAAGGATAATTTTATTCATATAATTTTTTTATTATGTCATCTTAAATAACACAAGGACAATTATTATACTGGAATAATAAGTAAAAATTAGTGAGAGTTATTGAAAATAAGATAAAAATTTAATAAGGGTACAGTAGACAATTTAAGGATTAACTATAATACAAAAAGAAAAATAGACTAAATTCTGGGACAAACTAAAAAAGAAAGACAGACTACTTTTTTGGGAGGAAGAGAGTATAAGAGAAGAGCACTAAACATTATTTGTACATTTTAACAAAGGATAGAAGTTTAATTTGTGGCCTAGCCTTGGTGCTTCTGTTTAAATTTGCCATGGCAATTGCATGTATTTTCTCTGTTTATCCATGTGATAAATGATGTCTCAATAGATGTAGCAAACGGGATAGCTCGGGTGAGTTTGTTTTAAATCTCGATTCAGGTTGAAATAATAAATAAGACGGTCTAATTAAAAATTTAGTTCTAATTTCACAAATTTGATAAATTAATAGAAGAATTACACATATTATGCAGTCCATTATATTATTTTAGTCCATTGAACATCCTAATGCATAAAAAAGAGAGTTAATTCTGAGGAGATAAACGACTTATCGTTGGCCTTTTCTAGTTTAGCTTTCGTATGACCCATTTAAAAGTTTTACGTAGGCTTTTCTTATGTAAGATGAAGGGTTTGTTTGAATAAGATAAAAATAAATGTCTGACGTAATTTTTATTTACACTTGCTGTAATTATTGTGAGCTTAATGTTGGGAGTTCTGAAGGAAAACTTACACGTATAGATATCATTAATTTGGTGGTGTTATCACTGCAAAAAAATACCTTTGAGAAATAAAATGATAATCATAATAATAATAATCAAACATTAAAAACTTTATTTTTATTGCAAAAAATGCCCATAACAAATTCCCTACTTTTTTATTAGTAAGTTGTTATTTGTATTTTACATAAGCTAAATGCATAATTTAATCTCAAATTTATTATTTTAATTTCGTGTCATCCTTAATTTATTTTTACTTTGACACATTAAATACTTTAACCTATTAAACATTTTAACTTATAAAATCATTTTATTAAATACTTTAACTTATAAAATTAGATCAATTAAATACTCATTAAATAGTTGAAAAATATAAAAATTATTATTTTATAATTTGTACTAACCACGTATTAAATCGATATTCTGCATGTAAAGAAAAAAAATTTATAACATTATTGTTTGTAATGTGGAAAGATGCCTAATTTTATCAAACAACATAATTTTAGGAGTATAATTTGTAAGGGTTTCTCAATGTTGAAGGTTTCATAACGTAAAGTAATAAAATTTAAAAGTGAATTTATATATTTATCTATTTTATACAAGTATTTAGACTTTATAGAATGGATATAATTTTTCATTGGCCAAAAATGAGCTAACAAAAATACTATATTTTTTTGTTTTTTGTCTTTGTTTGAAGGCTATTTTTGACTTTATATCATATGATTTACCAAAAGTTTCCAAATGTCATATTTTATAATTTATTAGTTCTTTTACGACATATATCGCACGTTGAATATGCTCATTTTTTGTACTCGTTTAATTTTTTTACTTATATAATATTAAAGCATAAGTAGTTATCGAGATTAAAATAAATACAGTGGTTAATTTACATTACATTTTGCCTAAAAAATTTTTGTAATGTTATTTATAAATATTTAATTCTATTTATATAATGAAATTATCTCAAAATAAAATTCAACCTAATCTCTAAACCCAATATTCGACCCTTAATTTATACATACAGATTCTTAAAACTCAAATCGATGCCCAAAAAACACCCATTTCCCAATACTCAAATAATAATAGTAGTAGTAGTAGGTGCCCAAAAAAAGAAATTAAGTCATCACTCAATTCCTAACCTCTTCCCCAACCCCAAATCAATATCTATATATATTTATAATAAAAAAGTAAAAAAAAATATTTCTTATGCTAGGTAAAAGAAATAAAAAAAAATTGATTTGAATTATTTAAAAATAACATGAGTAGAATGATGATGGTAGTTCACTTTGGCTATAATGATAGTATTACTTATTTAATGTATCAGAAAAATGAAATATGCATATACACAGACTCTTGAAACCTCAAAAAGTTTAGCTGCACCTGTGCGTAGGCCCATTCCTTAGACCAAATCAATTAAAGAAAGATTTTTCTATTAAAATGATGTTGTTTTTGATCATTTGATAAAAAAGAATAAAATAATAATAATTTTTTAAAAAACTTTTTTGATTGAGTTGGTGAATGGGTGGTATATATAGCAAGTGTAGACAAATTTTATTATATTATTTATATTTTGTTTTTTACCTTTCATATGTGAAGGCTATTTTGGACTTTTTATATAATTAGTGACATTCTAGAAACCCTAGTAAATTTTTTGAAATGACTATTATATCCTTAAAAATTGAATATGAATTTTGTCATTCTTTTATTTTTCCTTTTCTTTTCGTATGCTATTATATTTTTTCTTATTCTTTTTCTTGCATATGAATATGAGTAGTTCTTATTTTATCTCTCTTTTACCATCCATTTATGTGTTTTTTTTTAATTTATTCTTAAATTATAAAGATGCTTTATTTATTCTATTATTTTTCTGGTATGATAAATATTTAGAATCCATATATGTAATTATTATCCAATTTCTAAAAACATTTTTTTTTAATTATCCAATGGGCCGAAATAATACTGCGGACTATATAACAGAGATAGTATCACTCCTTTAAACTTATCAAATTAATGAAAACATTTATGGTTAAGAGGACTCGAATTCGAGACCTCCTAACTAACCAAACCACAACAAATTGGCAATTTCTAAAAACATATTATATTCTTATAGGTAATAACATAATTTCTTATTCTTGTTGTCTATTTTAGAACAACTTCATCCTTAATTTCTCTAGTTCATATCACATGATTATAAAATAAAGATGAAAGATTAGGTGAATCTACTATTTTATTCCTCGATGTAGTCTATGCGTAACTTTAAATTCTAAGCAAAAAGGTACAATATCTAATATCTTCACATAGAGATTTTCTTTATTGTGCCTAACGATCCTGCCTAAGATCCTATGCATTCATGATAAAAAGTTCATACCCATAGCTTTTTTTTGTCTCGTTAAGACAAAACTACCTTTTTTTTTTTAATTATCCAGTGTCGAAATTCACTGTTCGAATAATTTAAATTCACAAGTAAGCCCATAAATGAATGTAAAGCGCTCTCTCCTGAATGTTTAAAGGAACTTTATACTCAAAGTTTGAATTCGAAGACTTTTAGTTAAGGGAGAATGGATTTCTGTCATTTCATCTCACTCCTCGTGGCTTTAAGACAAAACTACTTTTCCTTAGAATAAAACGACATCGTATCATACCCCATCCATCCTTCACATCCTCTAGATATTCTTTGTCTATATATAACCAGATTAAAACTATCATGACCATACTGAACCTTTCTATGGAAGATCATTATTTCCTTGTACTTATCGTTGTTGCTTTGTTTTCTTTAGCATATGTTGTCTCCAAAAAGGCTTGGAAAAGGGTTCCCGGCGATGCATGTCTGGGGGAATCTGCTCAAATCCCTGGCCGGCTCGGACTACCTTTCATAGGTGAAACTTTTTCTTTTCTTTCTGCAAGTAACAGTAACAAAGGGTGCTACGAGTTCGTAAGGCTAAGGAGATTACTGTAAGTGATAATTATTTCTATTCTACAGTCTTGAACACCATAGCTTTTATTGTTATATAGTCATCTTTTTTCTCTATAATGTTTTTGTCATTTGGGCTCAGTTGGATAATAGCGTTGAGCAATGTTTAGTTTTTTGATTAAATCATTATTTTAATTAATTATCGCGCTTGATAAAGTCATTGTCACATCTATTATAACGTTTAGAGTTTGAGGCAGTGTATAATGAAATGTTATCCTCATTAATATTTGACTTTTTATAATTTTTTATGGCGCTTATGCCAATCACTTGTCTTTGTCTTGTTCTCTATATTCATACATTTTTGTCGTTTTACACCGCTATATAAATAATTAACTAACTGACAGTTATTACAACACCTATCAGCTACTAGAACTGCTAAAATTGTAAAACATATATGTATATATATTATAAGAATATTGATAATTGTCGGATGAAGTTACTACAAGGGAAAAATCCATAAGTTAATAAACTATTGGTTTAAGTCTCCTCATCGATAAACAATGACTCAAACACCCAGTAAGTACTTTATAAATATAAATATACAATGTGATTTTAAAGTACAAGAAAAAAAAAAAAAAAAGTAACTTCAACACATATTGGTGTTAGATAATATAATATGTAGATATAGCCTGTGAGTTGCGTTAAGAGATAGAAATTCCATACTGATTATATAACAGAGTTGGTAGTGCTTATAGTGGGAAAAACATTTAATTTAAATGAATTGGATATTAGATGAAGATCTTGAAGAAAAAAATAAATTTATGACTTGCTTGTATATATAATCGAATTATGTTATATTAAAAGTCTGATGATACTTGGCATTCTCACAAAAGAATTATGTAGCTCCCTGAGCCCTTGAAAATGTATTTTTGCGCCACAGAAGTCTCAGAGAGTCAAAAATAAATAAATTTCAGAGTGTCATAAGGTTTTTTATAATTCAGGGAGGGATTAAATTATTTATTTGGCCTATGTTATTTATAAAAGTAAGGATTTTCTACAACTAATTCCTTTTGATTTGATTTAAATTGGACAATAATTTGATTGTATTTTAAAACCATATTCTTGTGTTTTATTTTAGAAGTTAAAATACTAATAAGTTTATTTTAAATTTAAATTTCATAATCTTAAGGGTGTATTTGATTAGAATTGTGTTAGATTTTCACATATTCCACTAGAATTCTACGTAGAGTTTTATAGAATTGGTGAAATTTTTTTATAGATTTTTATTGATTTTGATAAAATTACAATGATTTTTATATATCCGATCAAAATCAATTTCATGGCCTAATTGAACAAATTAAAAGGTTTTTTGAGCTCAATTGAAAAGCTGAAAAATAATAAGAGACCAAAAAGCAAAACGAGTCAACTTCTCTAAAATCGTTTTTTATTTATTAAAACCTTATCGCTGTTGGCAATGAAAAGTTTGCAATGGCCAACGTAGCCGTTGGCCATCCTGCGCTCGCAAAACAGGTGCAATGTGGTCAGAAGATCATGGACTTCTCGTCTTTGACTAAATGGTGACCATCTCGTCTAAAAATCATATATTTAAATATATTTATATTTTTTAATTTAAAATCAAAAATCAGCAACTACCGCTAGTTAGGACTTGCGTCGGCTATCGGAGCTCGTGCAAGGAGGCGATGCACAGCGAGACAGGCAAGATGCACGCTCCACCGCCTGTGGCTCATGGAGCCTGGCGGTCCTGCCACAATAGTGGCAGACTTTGGCACTTCGACTATTTGAAAGCTTTTTTAATTTTTTATTTGATTAAATCAATAAATAATTGAAATAAATATTTAAAGGAAATCAACCCATAAAAATTTCAAAAAATAATCAAATTAATATTGAAAAATTTACAGGAATATTAATATTACTTTTTATCAAAATATTAAATTCTCAGCACACGAAGTAATTTGAAATTAATCCAATTATTAATATAATATTTTACACGGTTAAAGGGTCTATATATTATATTAAGACTCTATTAGATTTTAAAAGATTTTTAAAATATTTGTGTTAGAGGATGAATTTATGAATGATACTTTTATTTATATCTACTACTCTAAAATCCAACGAAATCAATAATTTTATAAAATTCACCCAAATCGGCAATTTTTTTAATACAATCAAATTTAATTTTTATGGATTTTATAAGAGTCTGAATTGAATACTTCAAGTAAACTGAATCCAAAAAAGTTTAGATTGATTACCATTGAAATTTTAAAATCTTTAAACTCTAATAGAGTCCTAATTCAATACACTCCTTAGTAAAACAAGTTTATATTAAAAATTTCATGCCTAAACCATTAATTTATTAAATTCTTTTTTTTAATATTTATTCAACTTTTCTTTTGCTTCAAATGTTTAGTTATGTAAAGGTTTTTTTTGTTCTTATTTGGAATATTTCCTGTCATAGAGTGATCTAATCCAAAATTCACGAATTTAACCTAATTTAACCAAAATTAATGAGTTGCATAGTTGCAGAATTATACTATTTTATTTTATAAAATTTAATTATTTATTACATATGAAATACACATATAAATTCTACAAAAATTATATAATAGAAATAATCGCGTGCTCTTTGATTATTATATAGGGCATGTTCGGCAAAATTAACTATTTTGGCATCTGTAGCTATTTTAGTAGAGTTTTTAGCTGTTTGAGTAGATACACATTACAAGGGATTAACCTTTCATAAAAATTAGTTAAAACACTATGTTACCAAGCACTAAAAAAAATAGCATTTAGCATTTTCACTTATTAAACTACTAAAAGCTACTTAAAAACCTATCGTTGATAACAACCATAATAATGTTGATTGTGTATCATTATAAACCTGGGAACGAGGTTTTGTTGTTTGCTCTCTCAACTTGAACGTGATATGCAATTTATTTAAACATTAACTTTTTGTATAATTATCAACTTTTTTATAATTATCACCCTAATTTTACACCTAATGAACAAAAAACTCAATTTTTGGCAAAAAAAAATAATAATAATAAATAAAATAATAATTTTAAATATTTTTATTTTTAATAAAATAATAAGTTTACATTTAATGATAATAATTTTATCAATTAAAAAATATAAATTTCTTTTCCAAAAATTGGATAATTTTGTTCATTTGGTAGAAAATTAAAGTGAAAATTGTATAAAAAATTGATTTTTGGACAAATTGTATATACAAATTAAAAAGATTATTCCATAAAAACTAAATAAATAACCTGAGTGGCTTGCGACCCAAAATGGTGTGACCCAAATCATTTACCACCATAATTCTAAAGCTTATCATTAGATCTTTTTTAATAGCTCGATCTAAAGTGATTTTTTTTTTTCTTTCACTAAAAATATTGGTCATCGACTTAAATTCATGATCGTGGTAAGAAAATAGGTACGGGAAGTGCTTCAAGACTAGAATATTTGGAAAGATCCATGTGTTTATTCCAAGTACAAAGGGTGCAAGACATATATTCACCAATGATTTTCTAGAATTCAACAAAGGATATGTCAAATCAATGGCTGATGCTGTTGGACAGAAGAGCTTGCTCTGTGTACCGCATGATAGCCATAAAAGGATTAGGCGTCTCCTCTCAGATCCTTTCTCCTTGCCTTCTTTATGTAAGTTTGTTCACAAATTTGATCAAATGCTTACACAAAAGTTGAAGAAACTAGAACAAACTGGCAAAAGTTTTAAGGTGCTTCACTTCAGCATGCAGGTATATATATTTCTTTTTCACTTGGATATAATTTGCGGGAATGACTTATCTACACCAAGTGTATGTGTCTATCCAATACGCCAAATTAATTAAAATTTTAGTTCGAACGTGTAAAAGTGTTTTTGACTATTCATGGGAAAAAGGATAAAACAGTAATTAAGTTTTTAAAAATCAGTTTTTGATTGATTTGACGTATGAGTAGTCATATACCGGGTATAGACAACTCATAGTAGTAGTTCAACTAAAATATTTAAAGATTTTTTTTTCTGGTAAATTATTCTCATAGTTTGCATGTCTAAATTTAATTTCTTTTAAATATTTGTTTTTGTAGATGACATTTGATGCCATGTGCAATATGCTAATGAGTGTCACAGACGACTTCTTGCTAAGACATATAGAAAAAGATTGCAATGCTGTTTCAGATGCCATGTTATCTTTCCCTCTCATGATTCCTGGGACTAGGTATTACAAAGGCATTAAGGTAAGAAACTGATATTAGAATATACGAGTACACCTGAATTACTATCCCACGTAGTGCCGCATTAATGTATGTGGAAGAACTTTCCCACCTCTCCATAAATTAAGTAGAGCGAGTCGTAGTTTGAAGTTCGACTCAGAAAAAGCATGTCCAAACTTAGCTGTTTGAAATTTCTGATTAATAAATTGAACTAGTGTTCGAGTTAATAAATGAGTCATAATTTTTTTTACTATAAATTGTAGACGAGCCGAACTAGAGATTGAGTTCGATTTTTAAAGCTTGAATCGCGTTCACTCAGAACTTGAGTATTACTTTTAATGGACAAGGCTCTGCTCAGGTCCTTTACAGCGATATCATATAAATCATCTTTTCACTTTTCTTCTTCCTGGTAAATATATATTAACACTAATATGAATAGTTTAAACAGGCACGCCAAAGACTGATGAAAACCATGAGAGGGATAATTGCTGATAGACGAAGTGGAAGGGAGACTTGTGATGATTTCCTACAGTCTATGTTAGGAAGAGATTCTTACCCATCCAGTGAAAAGCTCGACGACGAAGAGATTATGGATAACATATTAACATTGATAATTGCAGGGCAGACCACCACTGCAGCTGCTATGATGTGGAGTGTCAAGTTCTTGGATGAGAACAGAGAAGCACAGGACAAGCTAAGGGTGAGGCTTTGTAAAATTCCTGTACCCAAGTCCTTTTAGTTACTTTTTCTTGTACATTAATAATTTACATTCAGTTATAAACTTTTACAGGAAGAACAATTATTGATAGCAAAAAATAAGCAATTTGCAGGTTTACTTAGCCTTGAAGACCTTCACAAGATGTCTTATGGTTCAAAGGTTAGAGAGCATTATTAACAATATATTCGAATACTCAAGACAGCTTTTTCTAGCAGTTGGTGCATACTAGATTCTCACTTGATCAAAAGATCGAGTCATAGAATCAAGATCAAGCGGTTGTTTTTAACATTAACATTATACTTTTGCATTCTGTAGGTTGTCAAGGAAACATTAAGACTATCAAATGTCCTGTTATGGTTTCCAAGAGTTGCAGAACATGATTGCATAATTGATGGCAAGTAATTTCCTCTAAAATTGCTTCTTGCAGCCAAATATCTTATTAATTGTCTAACAAAAAATGATTTTAAATCATATGAAATGAAATTTCTTATTAATTAATTACCTTTTCTTCTCATTTTTTACTTAGGTTTTGAGATAAAGAAGGGATGGCATGTAAATATTGATGCAACCTGTATACATTATGATCCAGATTCCTATGTGAATCCTATGCAATTCACCCCTTCAAGATTCGATGTAATCAATTACTTTGTTAATGAAATTTAAATATTTTATTGATTTATCAGATTGCTTTATTTAGTTTATAATAAAAAAATAGATTAAAATTAATAGAATTTATCAATTCCAACTATTTGATATAAGATCTATGTTTATATAATAATTATCTATATATGTTCTGGTGTGTACAGGAAATGCAAAAGCCATATAGTTACATACCTTTTGGATCAGGACCCAGAGCTTGTCTAGGAATGAACATGGCCAAAGTGACAATGTTGGTATTTCTACACCGGTTAACTAGTGGATACGAGTGAGTGATTCCTACCTTTTATGCCTAATTTATATCAATAGCCATTGGATTTACACTAAAATTAATATTAATTAAATTGATTACATGGATTCAAGTTTATAAATTTGAACACTAAATTTATAATCTGCATGTTGTAATAACTTTTAAAATTTTAACTAATTTAATAAATTTAAAGGAGGTTTACTTCTTATTGTATAACTTATAATTTCAGTTAATTTGTTTTTCTAACGAATAAAAAAAATCATAAATGAATTTAAGAGTCAATTTAATTTTTTTTTTTTCCTGTTTTAAAATAATCGAATGATTAGTAGCTGCCACGTCTTGTGCCTTGCAAAATATATTGAATTGATGTTGTATTTTATTAATTTTACTTATTTACTTTTAATTTTTACGTAAATATGAAATATAGCAATAAAATCTTATGAAATGTAAAGTATAATAAACATAGAGATCAAATAAGGAAGAAAAAAATCAATAAATATTTGAAAACATATATATTGTGAAGAGAATTATAAATTTCATTTAAAACGGAAAGTTGAGATCACAAGAAATAGGAGCTTTAATATTAAGAGAAAGCTCATAGCAATCTAAAAACAAGCATAAGAGAAAGCTTTCCTAATATATTTGAAAACATGTTAAGAATTAATTAAAATATTTTTATTTTTTAAAAATAAAAACTATAAGATGCATATTATTCTTGGAAATGGTTTTGAAATTGCATTATTTTAGTAAATATTTTTGCATAAAGTATTATTTTTGTCATAATAACCCATTTTCTTCACTAATTATTTTAGATTTTTTTGTCATTTGTGCAGATGGACAATACACGATCTGGATCCCAGTCTAGAAAAGAGGGCACACATTCCTAGACTTAGGAGTGGTTGTCCCGTAACATTAAAGGCCTTAAATTCTACTACCTCTGTTCCATAATATTTATTCCATTTGAAAAAATAATTCATTCTAAAATACTTGATACGTTTGTAATTTCAAGAAGTAATAAATTTGTTTTTTCCATATTTACCTTTTATATATAACTAATAATTATTACTTCAATTTAATGGTATTTTTAGAGAATTAGTATTAAATTAATGATAATATAGTCAATTTACTCAATAATTTATATATAACTAATACTAATAATTATTACTTCAATTTAATGGTATTTTTAGAGAATTAGTATTAAATTAATGATAATATAGTCAATTTACTCAATAATTTATTGTAACTGAGACAAATTTAATGATTTTGTTCAAAGATGTGAAATTCCAAATATGATAAGTATTATGGAAAAGATGAATTAAAATGGAAACGAAGTAAATATGTTCCTTTGTTTTGGCATTTCTCTCTCCATATCTTAAATTTTATATTGTATTAATATTGATGTAATTTATAATTTAAGTATTTATAAGGTTTAAGTTATATTTTATAAGTTATGTTAAATTAGCGTTTAAGCTTACACAATTCCGTTTGCATAAATTATACAAGACGTGATATTGTGATGTATGAAATTTGGGCTTTTGGGGCCAATCAGATCTGGTTGGACTTCTCATTTATGTAAAAAATAGAACTCATAATTAAATTCATTTTAACCACAATTGTCTTCAACCATATATAAGGAAAATTTCGTTTAAAAATTAATTTGAAAAATATTGCTTTTATTCATTTATAATAATATTATACTATATGTACTTTCAAAAAAAAAAAATATTATACTCTATGCAGTATGAAATGGTTAAATGGCATCTTCAACTTTTACTTTGACATATTAAATACTTCAATTTATAAAATTATATCAATTAAACACTTTAATTTTCAAATTTATTTTATTGAACAATTCAACTCGTAAAATTAGATCAATTAAACACTCATTAAAAAGTTGAAATTTATGCAAATTATTATTTCAAAAGTCATGCTAACTACATATCAAGTTGAAATTATTATTTCAAAAGTCATGCTAACTACATATCAAGTTGATATATTAGTGTCGAAATGTGTGTAATATTACCAAAATTTACAAGTTCAATTGCATAATAAGTCATCCGCAAAGTTGAGCTTGCTATAAGATTAAAGTTGTAAAGTTTAAGGGTGAATTTATGTATTCAGCCATTATAAAATAGATAAATGGGGAATTGTTAGATGGATATGGCATTAGTCATCCCTAACCTCTCGCAGTTTATATTTAGGGTGAGTTCTTTTTTTTTTTTTTTTTTTTTTACTAGGATCACAAATAAAAAATTACCATCTCCTATTTTAAGGGCGTGCTTGAGTACTATTTTTATATTTTTGCAAAGCTTCATAACAATTATAATTTAAGACTAATTTATTTTTCCGTACAATTTTTAGGTAAAAGGGCTTTTTCCGATCAATATAAAAAATTCTGGCTTACACCATACACAAGATTAGAAATGTTTTACGCTACAACAACAGGGAAAGTTTAAAAATAAGTCTCAATCGCTATTAAGCCTACAAGGCTTCATTATTAGTTAACAAAATTTCCAAACTATTTTACATATATAAATACTGATTGAAGCAAAAACATTATTGTGCAGCTATTGGGTTCCTTCAAAATAGATTTTCCTTATGTGATCTTCTGTTTTCATTGTGTATTAATTTTTAGTGAGTCATGTATATGCAGAGAATGTAGTCTGAAGCGCTTATAATCTTGGAGTCAAATTGTTATCAATTTGGAGATTCACAATCAAGATCCTGGGTAATTCTATTATAGGAGATTCACGTCAAGCAGTATCATGCTAGGGTGCCTCCCCGTATCGACATAACCGATTAATCAAAGCGACTGGCAGATTCACAAATTGATGGATTAATGATCGATTATATCGGTGGATCTATACCAATTTTAATGCCATTAGCAAAATTTATTCATTACATTATTTTTCATAGTTTCTTTAAGAATTTCAGACTTGTAGATAACAATTGAAAAGTATGTGGGGATAGCTGTAGGGTGCTGGCCGTTTATCAAAAATCTCATACTTAAGATTTGGGTCTTCGATTTGTTGGGATGGACTCTTATAGTTTTGGTTTGATTGGTCAATACTTAGATCTAATCTTATCTCCACAGTGTCTCATCGAGAGAGATTGAATCAAACGGGCCCTCTGTTGATGGGTATTTTTTTGTTGATAGGATTTCATAGAGAAACCTATGCACGTTTTTTTTTTTTTTTTTTTTTTTCCGTCTCACTAGGACACAAATAAAAATTACCATCTCTATTTAATATACTATTTTTATATTTTTTAAAATTAAAATAATAAATTAAGAGTAATTTATTTTTCCAAAATTTAGTAACTTTTCCATCATTAACAAATTCTACACCATACACAAGATTAGAAATGTTTACCTAAACAACAGAAAGTTTAAAAATAGTAATCCTTAACTACAGCATTCATTTATTAGTTAACAAAATTTCCAAACTATACATATATAAATACTGATTGAAGCAAAACATTATTTGTGCAGCTATGGGTTCCTTCAAAATAGATTTTCCTTATGTTATCTCTGTTTTCATTTTTATTAATTTATATTCATGTTATGCACAAGATCTGAAGGCTTGTAAATTTGATCAAATTTATCAATTTGGAGATTCACAATCAGATCCTGGTAATTCTATTATAGAGATTCCTCAAGCATATCATGCTAGGCCTCCCTATGGCATAACCATTAACAAAGCGACTGGCAGATCAAATGATGGGAAGTTAATGATCGATTATATCGGTGAGTTTACAATTTAATGCCTTAAAAATATTATTCTTACATTATTTTTTCATAGTTTCTTTAAGAATTTAACTTGTAATAACAATGAAAAGTATTGGGATAGCTAGGGCTGGGTGATCAAACTCAACTTTAAGATTTGGTTTGATTTTTTGAACTATTAAGTTTGGTTTGATTCAATATAGAATTATCTTATCTACAAAGTGTCTCATCGAGGAATTGAATCAAACGGGCCCTCTTTATGGGTATTTTAGTGATAGATTTCATAGGAACTAGACGATCCTATTTGGTAAATATTAGGATCAAATATCTAGCAACAAACTCCTGTCTTCTTTTCATTACAGTATTTCTGAACAAGTTCTGGATAACAAGTGTAAAGGCTTAATCAAATATAATCTCAGTTATTTTTTTCTTTTAAAAAAAATCTTTTATTCGGTTTGGACCGATTCATTTCAATTTGAATTAAACCATCCAAATGTCTCTATAAGGATAGTTTCTTGGTTCTTCCGTTGTAATCTTATGGCGGTTCCATGGCAGGGGCATGCAATGGAGGCAATTGCGCTATTAGTTTTTATATTTTAGTGAATATAATTAAATTATTTATATATTTTATGAAATTTTGCAGCTGAATCAGCTGGTCTTCCCTGGATTGAACCATATGAAAACCCTAATTCAACATTGGTCCATGGAGCAAATTTTGCTGTGGCTGGCGTGACTGCTTTAAGAGTTGAAGACCTAATAAAATGGAAAATTCCACTTCCTTACACTAACAGTTCTCTTCTTGTCCAACTTGAGTGGTTCGACAAACTTATGGCAAAAACTTGCCAAACGAATTGCAAAGATAAGCTTAAATCAGCACTTTTCGTGGTTGGAACAATTGGAGCCAATGATTATGATTTTGCAGCTTATGAAGGAAGAGGTGTAGGGGAGATAAAGGACGTCATGGTACCTGGCGTTATGAAAAATATTAAGCAAGTCATCGAGGTAACTTGACATTTAACTCTTGTAATAATATTACATCATATGATTTTGATTTATGAGTTGTATTTTATGATCATTTAATTACAGTCTTTTGATTAGAATTTGTTTAGATAACCTAATTAAATGTTAATACTTTCTTCACATTTGGATTGCTAAACATTGTGAAGTTGTGCCGATTAGATTTATGCATTTTGTAGCTGGATTTATATTGATTTATGGTAGAGAAAAGAAGGGAGAGACAATTATGCTTTGGGGATTGATATCATTTGATAATAGGGTGAGCAATTCTCGGTTTCTAATCGTGAATCGAACTAAACTGACTCATTTCGATTGGATTCGGATAATTATTTTAGAAATTTGGTTATCGATCAGTTTAGTGCGTAAGGCTGTTTGGTTTTTGATATTTTGTTCGAATATTATATAAAACAAACCGATTTATTTTTAAGTCCAAAATAATTTATTTGGTTTAAAATAATCGAACCAAACCGATTTACTTTGTTTTGGATCAGTTATTATATCATGTTTTTTCTAAAGGAGTTATTATACCATTTAATTTCGGATTTGGATACTATAAAAATAAATTTAGATAAACCAAACCTAAACTAATTCAATTTGGTTCAATTTAATTAATGGAATGCTCATCCTAATTTGATGGTAGGTAATGCAATGATTAAATAGTATTCACCTTTATTTTAATTTATTACAGGAAATTATCCGGTACGGTGCTGTTCGAATAGTTGCACCAGGAGTTTTTCAACTGGGTTGTACCCCAAGCTTGCTGACATTATTTGAAACAAATAAAACTGCTCTTTATGATTCACTTGGATGTTTAAAAGATTATAATGATCTATTTATCTATCATAATACTCTTCTCCAAGAAATGCTTAAGGAATTGCAACAGAAGTACCCTGATGTAACAATTCTGTACGGTGATATTTACAGTGCCCTACAATGGATTTTGGAAGACCTTACAAAACTTGGTTAGTGATTTCCAAAGGCTTTTTTAACCTTATTATTGCGAAAAATAGAGTTTAATTATATATATTTTTTAATAATTTATGTGCAGGATTTAAATCATTTAAACAAGGTTGTTGTGGGACTGGGGGTAAATATAATTTTACTCCTGGGCTTAAGCACATGTGTGGAGCTCCAGGTGTACCTGTTTGTCCAAATCCTAGAGAGTATGTGTTTTGGGATGGTGGACATTTTTCAGACCAAGCAAATAAATATTTGGCAGAATGGCTCCTTAAAGACTTGGTACCTAAACTTAAATGTAGTCCTTGATGATAAGATATCAAATTGATCCAAATCAAGAGGTAAAATAAATTAGTTTAAACTTCTAAGATCTAATTGAATCAGTGGATTCATTTCTGTATCTGATTTTTCTAGTTGGGTTGCTTCTCCATTCTTTATTGTTCTACATTTGATATGCTTTGTGAATAAAATTTTACATTTTTAATCTAGAAAAAAAAAAAGATTATTTTCCACGTTTTAACTTTTGATTATATTTTAAGATTTTATTAAGTTTACTAATTAATTAATTAATATGTAATGACATAAATAACACTTAATATAGCCCATCATCACATTGATTTTGTAGCAATATTTAATTAAAGTATTTGACTGTTGTGGTTATATATATACACACACATAAACACATTAATAATTTACTAATTTCATAATGAGCAATGCTAGATGGCACATGCCGAGCTTGGCACAACAAGAATCAAGGAGAATCTTTGGATATAGAATGCTCATATTGCTCTTAATAAAATATTTTTTCTGGAAATTTGAATTTGAAAATTATTCTCTCTCTTTTATTTTAATAATGATAAAATTACAAAACCACAATCCCTAAAACTGCATTTTTAATAACTTGCTCTAATCACTCTCTCTCCTCTCACATCCCTAACCCCAAAAACCTTTTCACCCAACAAAGGCTTTCATCTTCTTCCACAAACGCCACTGGGGAGAAGAATTGTTATAGTGACATGAATCCACCGAAGAAGAAAGCCAAGGTATATGTAGTTTTTTGTGGAATTAAAACTAGAAATTTTGATTCTTGGCCAAAGTCCGAGTCTCAAGTATTAGGGGTCAGCAATGGCCAATACAGATCCTATGAAAGTAGGGACGATGCTGTGAAATTCCATCATGTGCTTTGGCACTTGACCTATGAACACATTAAATGCAAGATGGTGAGAAGCGACACTTAGAGTTGTTGTGTATGAACTGAATCGAAAGATACAAAAGAAAGAAAAGAAAATGTTGTACCTATGTGTGAAGTGATCCAAAGGTGAAAAGAAAGAACCAATACAGATCCTATGAAAATAGGGAAGATGCTATGAAATTCCGTCATGTGCTTTGACACTTGACCTATGAACACGTTAGATGCAAGACGGTAACAAGCAACACTTGGAGTTATTGTTTATAAAGTGAAACGAAAGATACAAAAGAAAGAAAAGAAAATATTAGACCAATGTGTGAAGTCATCCAAAGGTGAAAAGAAAGAAAAGAAAAGTTTGGGCCTGTGTGAATAACTAGCCCATATTAATGTTATTAAAAGTTGGGCCTATTTATTATAAATGAACCACAAACAATTCGATAGGAAGCATTGAAATATTTTTAGTTAAAGTTATTATTTTTCAGATAATTCTAGTGGGTGTCATAATTTAAATTTCTGTTTACAGAATGTCAATTTGACTTTTTAATTTAAATTATTGTCAGTTTGGATTTGTTTTTATTTTTATGCATTTTTTTTTTTTGTTAAGCGTTAGTTCGTTAGTAAATCACTGTTTTTATTGTTTTGTGTTTCCTTTTTTATTAATTTCCTATTTTAATTACCAATGTTTTAATTGCTTAGTGTTTTCTTTTTTATTAATTTCACATTTTAATTATCATTTCTTTTTTTTATTTTTTTTATTTTTCTGCTGCCGTCTTTTTGTAGCCTCCATTATTTTCAGCGTTATTCTTTCTTCTTTTGTTGCCTTCTATTATTTTCTTATCGTTATTTCTCATTTTACTCTCGTTATTTTCAGCGGCCAATTGTTCTTCTCATTATTGACGTTGTTCCACGGTTTCTTTTTTATTTTTGGATTATTTTTCTCTTCTGAGATTTCATTTTTGCATGAATGTATCAGCGATTTAATTTTTGCTGGAAAATTGTCACTGCCATGAATGTTATTTATGCTCTGTCGAAATAAGGTAGAACTCTCAATTCTGTTTGGATTGATATTGATACAATATATATACACACACATTATTTACTTTGTGTAATCGAATGTGTTAACTTGTTTATATATATATATATATAATTGATTTTACAGTATTTACTGAGATAGTATATATACCGTATTTACTGATGCAGTATATATATACACGCCTTATTTACTTAGTTTGATCTAATTTGTTAGTTGGTATATATATATATATTGTTATTAATACAATATATACATCATATATATCGTATATATCGTATTTACCATCGTTGTGGTCGTCGTCACCAGTCGTTATCCTCATTGTTGAATCACAGAAGTTGTATAGGGATTTGCTATTACAGATTTCATGTTTTTTTGTGTTTCCTTTTTTTCTTTTTTTTTTTAGCATTTCCTTTTTGACCAAATATGTTAGTTTCATGTTGTTTGAGGTTATTTTAGGTATTTTTATTTTATTTTTGACCAAATATGTTAGTTTCTTAATATTTGATATTTTATGACATTTATTAAAAATTGAAACCTTGAATATGATATTTGCTTCATAGCCCCTTATTTTTCTTATTATTATTATTATTAATAAATAATTAAAAGACCATAATTTTATTTCAATATTATAGTAAGTGTAATAACAAAATGTTATGAAAAGTATTAAGTTTAACAGTTTTTTTATTAAAGGATATACTTAGTAGGTTATAATTAATTATGGTTGTTGTAACTTGTAATCCTTAATCTATATACACTAGACTTCTAAGTACAAGTATACTAATATATATGATGATACTAATAAAAAAAAAACAGACATTTAACTAAGGTCCAATTATAATTATTTTTATAAGTTTATTGGTGATATTTTATATGAGTCATATTTTAATTTACTAAAAGTCTATTTAGATTTCATATTCCACATGAGTCATATTTTAAATTAAGATCTAATAATTATAATTATCATTAGAAGTTTAATGATGATGTTGATAAGTAGCTTAAAAATTTTTAGTTATAACATTATTAGTATTTTATTAATTAATAATATTTTTTATTTTTAATAAATTTCATAATTACGAAACTATAAAACATTCACTAAGGTTACAAAGACATGACATGAATATTATATTATAATTTTCTGTAATATATTTTATAAAAAAAATAAATTCAATTTATTAAGATATTATAATTTAATGTATATAATTTTATTAAAATTTTACTTATGAATAAGATAATATTACTGTCAATAATATTTTATTCATTAATAAATGTATATAATTTATTATAATTGCTAGTGTATATATTTTTTATTTATTTTTTTTAAAAAAATAAAGTAGTTTGGTGTTAAGACAATTTAATACATGAACAAAAGTCATGAGTTCAATATTATTAATTAACATAAAATCATTACTGTTTTTTTCCCTGATACAGTGCATCATTTCTCGCCCAAATTTAATAAGTTGCTCACATGAGTCATTTAGCATTGCTCTTATATTGCATACAATAATAATTATATGAATGAAAAATTTTGCAATCAAATAAATTTTCTACGTGGCTTGCTAGATTAGCCACTTGGCATAAATTGGACTCACGTTTGTTATATCATCACTTGATTTTATTTCTAAAAAAAAAAAAATCATTACTTATTTGTATTTGTTTTTTTCTACGCGGGTCAAATAATGACATGGCAAAAGTGAGCCAAATTGCACCGTATGACCAATTTAATTGAACTACATAGGTAAAATGCACTAAAATAACATACTTTGGGTTGAATCGATCGGACTGATTGAACCAGTTCGGTTCAATTGATTTTCTTTTTCACAAAAAGTTTGATAAATAAAAATTTTTAATGCAGTCTTGGTTCATGAAACTCACGTAAAAAAAAGCTTAAAATCAAGCCGATGCCGATCCATAAATAATTGCAAAAACTGAAACTGATTGAATGAAACCAGTTTGGTTTTGGTCAGTTAAATTCTAAATTCTAATTCGGTTCGAGTCTATTTTCATTTTAAAATAGCAAAAATTAAAAAGTTTAAACTCCGATGGGATAATTACCCCTTTGGTAGATTTGAGAATAGATGTAAACCAAGACTCAGTTTGCTAAAAGGTAGGGCCAAGCATATTTGGGTTAAACCGACTGAACCAAAGCAGTTCAGTTTGATTTTTAAGCTCACAATGGGAAGATGTTCCTTGCACCCAATTTTTTCACTGGGTTGTGGCCAATACCTGATGATAACCCATCAGCTCGTTTCTAGCCATTTTAAGCTCACAACTTTTTGGACCCAAGATGATAATTTCTGTAAATATTATCAAAAATATTCATTCCAAACAGAAATGAAATATATACATATATATAATTTTCCATTTTATTCCAGCCGCAGCTATGATTATCATGACATATATTCTTTATAACTTCACCATCACTCCATAAGTAACACAAGATCAAACCAGAAAATGACATTATCAGATGGTATGGGGACATTGTTCGTATGATGTGATGACTCGTCTAATCATATCCTTCGGCCCTTTGATCATTAAGCAGGAAAAACTTATGATAATTATACATAATGATACAGGTTAATGACTTGCAGATAGCAAACCTCATTTGAGGGACATTGATTTGTACTTCTGCATTGTGCTTGTTATAGCTTGTTCGACAGGCAGTCTCTCCATGCTTGATGCCCCGTAAAATCCATGAACTCCCTTTGTTCTCTTCAGTATAAATTCCGCCTCTGTAGGACCAGATATAGGACCTGACAATTTGTTGGACAACAATATTTAGTCAATTATACAAGATTTGCTACTAATAGCAGTAGCTAAATTGGGGAAGACAATCGATCAACCAATAAAATTAGAAGTATTAAAAGTGATTTATGAATGCTGGAGGTAATAAAAGAACAAAAATGAACAGCAAAACTAGAAATTATTTTTGGAGTGACCATGACATGTTCCAATCCTGAAAGTTCAAAAAACTTTAAAAGTTTCAATTTTTTATTTTCCAACATGTAAAATGATGCTTTTTGAAAATAGGTTACAATCTCAATGACAAAATAAATAATAGAGTGAGGACAAACCCAAACACGAAAAGGAAGCCAAAGTTTAGACAATGACATTTTAGGTTTCAATATGTCTTAAGCTTGGGTAAGAAAAGGAACACCCACAAGACTCACAAATTCTGAAACTATGAAGCACAGTCATACATATAAGAGAATATTCAAAAATTGAGTATTCTAATATACAATAAGCAACAAAAACTGGGATATAACGTATTATTCAAAACAAACCACATTATTTGCCATCCTGCAAAGCACAGTTGTATTGGGGGTTGAAATACATAATCACCAGAAAATCACTAGAAGAAATAAGCAAATTCTGTAAGTACCTCCATGGCAAAGCACAATTACACTGGGGTTGATGTTATGTGCAGCGTCTGCAATTGCCTGCACACGAATTACGCTTTCCTCCAGTGAGACAGCTGTTTTTGCACCAATAGAACCCGATGTAGTAAGCCCCATATGGGCCACAATGATATCAGCACCTGCTTTTGCCATTTCCATGGCTTCATTATGATCAAAGGCATAGGGAGTTGTCAAAAGGCCCATGTTATGTGCTTTTTCAATCATTTGGACTTCCAAGCTTACCACAAGGAAACCAAAAATACAAGTCATAAGAGGAAGTAGATAACCAAATATTAGCAGAATCTCATTAAAATATATTGTTCAGAAGACATACCCATATCCCATTCCTGTCTCTTCCAGATTTTGTCTAAAATTACCATCAAACAGCCCAACAGTAGGAAAATTTTGTACCCCTGAGAACCCAATTGACTCCAGCTGCTTAAGGAAGTAATCCATTCGGCGAAAAGGATCGGTCGCACATACTCCAGCAAGAACTGGTACCCCCTTCACAACCTAGAATTGTTCTTTAATTAGTTTTAAATTCAGCAGTACTTTGATGGGATTGATTAAGGTTTAAACTATGTAACATAATTCACATCAAGTTAGAAAATAAAACATGTCATTAACTACTTGTAGGGCGCACACATGAACACTGAGAGAGCTATTTCATTTTCAGTTCAGAAAACAAATTAAATCTTTAAACATTTTCTCCAGTCTTCAATTTGCAAAAACCAGTTGAATTTAAAAGTTCAATGTTAGAGTGCATTCAGTTTTTCCTAAAATAACACACAAGGACCAAACATATCAAAATTATTTTCCTGTATGTCTCTAGGTCTCTGCTTATTCAAACACTTAGACTCCATTTATTTCTGAAAAATAATTTACATGGAATACATTTTTCATATTTTCTGATGTTTGGGATGCTCAGAGAAAAAAAAAGTCAAATAATTTACATGGAATATGTTTTTCAGATTTTCTGATGTTTGGAATGCTCAGAGAAAAAAAAAAGTCAAGGAAAACTAAATCATTTTAAGAGAAAATGACTTTCTCTTCTCAAAGAGGAAAATATTTTCCGGATATTGATAAATTTATTATAAAAATATAAATATACATTTATATTAACATATTTATTACCGTTAATCACAATTATTGATTATCGCTAACAAACACCAATCACCAATTGCCGTCGGTGACCACCACTACTCACCAGAGTTTATCACAATATATCATTTTTATGCATTTTTTTCTCATCTTTAACAGTGAGATTTTAAAATATAAAAAATTTCTGTAATTCTAGGTATTTTTATACTCCTAAAAATTATAAATTTTAATATTTTTTTTTAATTAATTTTTAATATTATAACCAAACAACAGAAAATAAGTTATTAGAAAAATATTTTCCAAAGTTAAGTTATTTTCCGAAAATAAATAGGGCCTAAATCAATGTGACTGATTATTCCAGTTTGGCACTTAAGAAAGATAACACTAGCACTTGGTCATTGTTTGTTTATGTGTCTTCTCTTTACACATTGCACAAAAAATGCTATGACACAGAGAATGTAAAACTAATTAACACTTGATAATTTTTCCCTTCATTTAGTGCCAGAATTTAACAATAAGTATATCAAACAGAGAATAGTAAAAAAACATTCTAATGTGTAACAGGAAGAAACTTAAGATAAAAAAAAAAAGAAGGAAATATTAAACATTTCCTTTAAAACCCTTAGCAATAGGAAATAGGAAACTTACTGGCAGCACTTCATTGGCCATGTCAATTACTATTGCGTTAGCATCAGCAAAAGGCAATAAGCCTGCTAAGGAACCCCTTCCCGCCATGCGAAAGCGTCCCGAGTTGTATAGTACAATTAAATCAACTCCACCAACTTCCTCAAACTTTGCTGATATTCCAGTTCCTGCACCTGCCCCAATTATGGGCAATCCTTTTTCTATTTGATCTTTAAGTTGCTGCAATATGGCCTGAGTCTTGTGCAAAGTTTCTGTTAAAATAGCAGTTATCTGTTAGCTTGTAAGGTTTTTCTCTAGATTTTCATTGTTCATAATTTTTTGGTTTACTAGCCATTTATGCTATACCTATATTTTTTGCGTTGTTTGTGTTTAGAATGAGTACAAGCATTGTAATTAAAACTTTCTTGGCATAACACATTAATCCTTTACAAAGATCAGCAGTACTTTCTTGTATGACGATCAGAACCAAAATATTAACAAGTTAACAACATGGAGAAGTCCACTTAAACCTGGTCTGGCATCTGGATAGTTGATTGGGCTGTAACAAATAGTCTCACATCTTGATGATTTCACATTGGAGACATTTTGAAGGTCATGACTAGGTTCATGGCTACCACTCTGGGGTGGACTGGAATACATAGTGTTCTCAGAAATAATCTCTAAAAATGAGTTCACCAATGCATCTGCAAACTCTGAATCATTGACATGAAAAGGGTAGACCTTTACCTATTATTATCAACAAATTTCAATTTCATTGTTTGAAGCTACATATAAAAGAAGAGAAGCTGGAGCACATAGATATGGAACTCTTATATACACAATTTGATAACCAATAATGGTACCTGTCGATCTTCATTTGTCAGTATTAGATTCTGTAGTTCATTTACTAGAGCAGTAGTAGCCTCAGGATCATAAAAGGGTTTCCCAGGTGCATCCAAAGCTGAGATACCCTTTTGTGGCAGGCAAACACAGATTTTTGATGATGACTTATTAAGCTTATCTGCTATAAAGCTAGCAAACTTTTTATTCTCTTCCACTGTCGTTCGCACAAGTGAAACCTGAAATTAATAATAGAAAGAAAATATATTAGACTAACAACAGGGTGAATCGAAAACTATTGAACAATGAGTTCAAACAGTCATGCTGTGGAAAAGGGAGAAGATTGACTCATTTGTCATTTAGCAACACAGGTAGAAGGGCTGACAAGGAAAAAGATAAACAAAAAACAGACATGAATTGCAGTTTCAACTTTCAAGAAATGATTCATTCCAATTATCATGTAGAAAAGCAATAGTATCCTGCTCAGTGTACAGTTAATTCACAACAGAAACATCTGAAAAGACAATAATTGAAAGAAAAAAAAATCCAGTTTCACATCAAAGTATCACCTGCTGATTGTGGATATGAATCTTTCTTTGTCGAAAATTAGGAGGGATTGTATCAGCAGCTCCAAAGTTCACCATATCCAAAGCTCCTACACTCAAGACCAAAGGAACCTTCTTCTCTAACATGGCATCGAAGCGGGAACTGTCACAAGCCATAACACCTGCAACTACATAATCTGCAACCTCTGTTGTACTTATGTCTAAAACACCCTATATATGAAACCAACAGGTAAAACATGAATATAAAGAATAGAACAGAATATAGAAACAAACACAGCATCAAGAAAGAAAAGTAAACCCCTCATAAGCAGTGGAGAAAAAAATCCGCATCAAATTTGAGTATATGAAAGGCAGGCAGAAAATAATTAGCAACTAGACGCTTAGAAATGTAAAAATCATAAACAAATACAAAGTATAATTCTATATTATTAATTGTTTTAAAAGGGAGAGAAAATTGATTTTGATCATGAGAAACATAAGCATTAAGTTGTCAACTGGTGTATGAACAATACCATTTGAAACTTTCAGGAATAAAATATTCTGGTTTTAAGAACTCCTTAGGAAGTCAAAAATGTATAACTGTGGACAAGAAACATGATGTTCTTTAAGTGATAAAGAGTTGATAGAATTCAATGATTGCTTATGCAGAGTAGAAAAATGATCAAACCCAAAAAGGCATAATTTAGAAAGCATGCAACTTAAGTTTCAGTTCTGACTTGGTATACGCACAAAACATACAAAATGAGGTTAGATTAATCTGTTAATAAATGAAAAAGCACCAGTTGGTTCAGCTCCATTAGCAAGAAATGAATTTTACTGGAAAGTTTATCATGAATCACAAAGATGATTTCTTAAAATTCAAATTATTTACCCCTCAAATCGTTTACTCCCTTGCTTGGTATAAATGAATTTCAAAAATTTCATGAAATTTAACTGAATTCCCAGTTTTGAGTGTTTGGTATGTTAAACGATGTTCATTCAATTCCACAAATTTAATTCTATGAAACAGAACCTAACTCAACTAAATTCTATAAAGTTGATGTTATTTTAAATGAATTCCATAAAACTTTACATAAATGTTTTATAAAAAAATCCCATCTATCTCTCTCTTTTTTATTTTTTTCCTCTTTCCTCCCCATTTTCTATCTTTTGTCTCTCCTCCTCTTCTGCTCACTTTCTCTCTCTTTCTTCTCTCCCCTTTTCTCTCTCTATTTTTCTTTCAAGCTAGTTTACACAATTATCATGTATTCAACTGAATTATAAATTTATAACAAACATAAATTATGAGGATAGTTAACTGAATTCAACACTTTAATCTCATAATGACAAACTTGAAAATTTATTTTAAATGAGTTCTACATTTTACAATGTTTTAGTACCAAACACAGCCTCAAGCTTAAAACCATAACTTAAAGATAAATTACTAAAGAAACAATACCTGTATGAATCCCTCTCGAACCAAAGACTCCATGGCCCTGCCTCCAACCCCAGTGGCGTGGAAAATCAGTGTCTCATAACCTTCTCTTTCCAATCTTTCTTTTACAGCATTCACACATGGGGTTGTAACTCCAAACATAGTTATACCAACAGTTAACTTCTCACTGCCAAGAGAAGAAACCCCACCTCTCTCAACCCTTCCAATAACCATTCCAGAAAAAGCAGCTGCAGCATTTGACAACACAACTCTACTTACACTATTAATCCCACAAACATCCACTACAGATGGAAACAAAACCAAATCTGATGTCCCAATATAAGGTTCAGTTTGACCACTAGCTACAGTTGATACAATAATTTTAGGTAACCCAAATGGAAGTGACCTAAAAGCAGAAGATAACAAAGATGTCCCTCCACTACCTCCAATACCAATAGCTCCAACAACTAAATTACCCTTAACAGCTTTCTGTAAGAAATTTTCAAGTGCTTTACTCATTACAGCAACAGCTTGGCCTCTATCATCAGGAATCAATTTTTGAGTTTCTTCAAGAACTTCATTTCTTGAAACAAATTTGAAATCCCCAATGCTTTTAGTCTCCTTCTTACCGACCGAAACATCAACAACTACAACCTCTACCTGCCAGCCATTGACGTTTACAGATTTTAGAATGATTTTTTGTTCATTTGTTTCTAAAAGAAATACGGAAAACTGAAGAATAAAGTTACCTTGGAAGATGAGCTGAGACTGGATCGGACGGACTCGGAGAGAAATCGGAGCTCGTCGAACTTCGTATCGGCGGTTCCAACACAGAAAACTCGAGGGGTGTTGTGTGGAGGAGCCATTCCTGTTCTGTTCAAGCAAAATCAAATCAGGAAAAAGATTGCCTAGCTCTCCTGATTCTTTCAAAGTTAGCTCTAAGATGGAGTGGTAAAGCAGCGAGGTTTTTCGTTACCCAACCGTACGTATCAGTGAGGCTTCTCGTTTTTAAGATTTTGACATTTCACCAGCCACGTTAACTTAACTATAGGTTTGGGGCATTTTTTATCGTTTTGTGGAGCAACGAGGACATGACACGTGTAAAAAAGCAGCAAATATATAGTGCAACCAGGTGACATCTTACCCAATTAGAAATTTAAAGTGAAACGTCGGGAATTCATAGCGATCCCTCCATTTTCATATTCCCGCCATTTTTTCTAACTCATATTTTATTTGTTTTTCCCATTAAAATGTGATTGAGAAAAAAAATAATTAATCAAATTTGTATTAGTTAGATAAAAAATAATTGATGATAAAAGATGTCTATAATTTTTGGTTTTAAATAGAAAAATATTTTAGTTTTTTTATATGTAGTGTATTTCAGAACATTTAAATTTAAACATTTTGTACAAATAACAAAAATTTTGTAAAGATACATATTTACAGTAAAAGTTAAATCGTTTATAAAATAGTGTGCAATTTAATTAACATGTTGTAAAAAAAAAAAAAAGAATGCTAATTCAAATCTGTTTTTATATATTCTGTCGTTACTCCATAATACTTATCACATTTGAAATTTTACATCCCTTAAAGAAAATCATTTAATTTGTCTAAGTTACAATAAATTTTTGAGTAAATCGACTATATTATCCTTAATTTAATACTAATTCTCTAAGCAAATCATTAAATTGAAATAATAATTATTGGTTATGTACAAAGGGTAAATATGAAAAAAATATATTTATTATTCTTTAAAACTACAAATGTGACATGTATTTTGAAACCAACTATTTTTTTAAATGTAACAAATTTTATGGAACTGAAATAGTAATTAATAATAACCGATTGGTCTACTTTAAAAAATCTATTGTTAATCCTGAATTTTCTTGTAATGCCATTGTTAATTCAAGCAAGAGATGATCGTTTAGTTGTTTACCGGTCACTTTCAAGAATAACGTATTTGTAAATCTCAACATCCACCATCTCCAATGCATCTAAAAGCTATAATGCACGGACACTTTAAAAAGTCTAAGGTACTAGTGTCATACCTGCGTCAAATATCGACATTTTTCGAATACTCCCGAATACGTGTTGGATACTTTAAAAAATGTATTCTAATTTTTTTTTTTATTTTATTAATGTCAAAGACTTTTAGGACACTTTAAAAACACTTGTAAAAATTTTATAAAATTTTTAGATAAATTTATTAACAAAAATTTTAAATTGAGGTTATAAATATAAATATAAATATATATATATATATATGACTCTGAATTTGTCTTGTAATGCCCATTGTTAATTCAATGCAAAGAGAATGAATCGTTTTAAGATTGCTTTTACCGGTCACTTTCAAGAATTAACGTGATTTGGTAATCCTTCAACATCCACCAATCTCCAATGCAGTCTAAAAGCGTATAAATGCACGGACACTTTAAAAAGCTCGTAAGTACTAAGTGGTCCATACCTAGCGTCAAATAATCGACCATTTCTTTCCGAATTACTGCCCGAATGGACGTGTGGATTACTTTAAAAATGTAATTCTTAATTTTTTTTTTATTTTATTAATGTCAAAGAACCCTTTTTAGGACCACCTTAAAAACAGCGTTGGGTAAAATTTTAATGAAATTTTTTAGATTAAATTTATTAACAAAAATTTAAATTGAGGTTATAAATTATTAGAAGTATGAATATGATAGTATAAGTATATTAAGGCAGAGCAGATTTTTGCCATTATGATGGGATGGTGTAAGTAATAAGTTTTTATTTGTATTGTATAAGCTTTTGAAAAATTGCCCTAAAAGTTAATTGAGGAGAAAAATGCAATTATTAGCAACAGTTCTAAAAGATAAGAGTGTAATGACAGTAAATTGTAAAAAAGATAAGTATTTTTATATTTTCCTTTGATAATGGTCTTTATACATAGATAATATCTTCTATTAATTACATCCCATCAAGATAATACATTAAATTAAATTAAAATTTAATTAAACTACAAATAACCCAAGCCATAAAATAAGAAATACTTAATTTATATCAGGAACTAGGTTGCACGGACAAAGGACACGAGATACGAAACGTACGAGATATATGATAATAAATGAACAATCATTTATAATAAATAAAAAACATCAAATTAAAAATACTTCATTTTAATTTTAATATAATTAGTTTAAATTAAAATTAAATTAAAATACATATAACCCAAACTATAAAATAAAAAAATACATAATTTTTTATTTCAATATAATTAGTTAAATTAGTTAAAATTTAAAATTAAAAAATACATAATTTTTTATTTCAATATAATTAGTTAAATTTTTAAAATTATTATCACTATTAAAAAATCTATATCTATTTATATAATATATAAAAGTAGGGTAGTTTGTTTTATATGGAAGCTAAGTGTAAGTAACGCAGTTTGCCACTTGACATTATTTTGAATTATAGAATGACGAATGTAATAGTTCACATAATTTAGCATAATTGTAAGAATTGTAAAAATATCAATTGTTCTATATTTTCAGATAATCCCTCTATCGAGATAATATCTATAAAAAAAGACTATCTCTAACATTTAATTTAAGATATTAATATAAATTTATTTCTTCTTACAAAGTAATTAATAAGCTTAAAAAGAGTATAAATAAATAATATATTACTATTAAATAAACAATATATAAGCAATTTAAAAAATATAAATTGAAATGTACAGGACACGACAATTTTTGAAAAGATAGGACATCCGCATGCTTAGGACATAATATACTAAATAAGTAATACATTAATATTTCAAATAAATAAAAAATCATTTATAATAAATCATAAACATAAATATAATAAAGATTTATAATAAATCATAAACATAAAATAAAAATACTTAATTTCTTATTTCAATGACACAAAAGTAAATTAAAAAAAAACACTTTATTTTATTGGTAATAAAAAAAACCTTGGTTGATTAGTTTGGTGTAAGGAGTAGTCTCACATACCAAGAATTAGATTACACGGACACGAGACACGAGATACAGAAACGTAAGGATATGATAATTTTTAAAAAAGATAGGACATCCACACGCTTAGAACATAGTATACTAAATAAGCAATACATTAATATTTCAAATAAATAAACAATCATTTATAATAAATCATAAACATAAAATAAAAAATATTTAATTTCTTAATAAAAAATATTTAATTTCTTATTTCAATAACACAAAAGCAAATTAAAAAAAAATTTATTTTTATTGATAATAAAAAACCTTGGTTAATTAGCTGGGTGTAAAAAGTAATCTCATATATTAGGAGTTAAGTCGCATGGACACGGGACACGGGATACGGAAATGTACAGATACGACAATTTTTAAAAAGCAGGACATCCATACGCTTAGAGCACACTACACTAAATAAGTAATACACTAATATTTCAAATAAATAGACAATTATTTATAATTAATCATAAACATAAAATAAAAAAAACTTAATAAGTAATACACTAATATTTCAAATAAATAGACAATTATTTATAATTAATCATAAACATAAAATAAAAAAAACTTAATGTCTTATTTCAATAGTTAAATTCTTAAAATTATTATCACTATTGAAAAATATATTAATACTGTGTATGCATTTTTTATATAGGTTATATCAAGCATAACTTTTGCTATTGGATATCTTATGAAAAATTAAACATAACACTTCAGAAGACATATCTTAGTATCAAAACTTTTCACATATCTCGATAAGATAAAATTTATCATTTTATTATATAATTTTACTATTTTTTTAATGATGTTATAAAATACTATTTCATCTTTGCCCAAAGTAAACTATTTGCATGCTGTATTAGATATTGATCCCTATGCATCGGTGAGCGGAGATTAAACTGGTGGAGCCAACAGAAATTAGGATTTATACGATATTTATGTAGGTAATAATTATGTCAATAAATAAAGGGCACGGGAAACAAGACACATAAAGTTACAATATATAACACTCTAGCAAACTATCTGAATATTCTGAAAATAAGAAAGGAAATTATAAGGGAAAAGAATTCTAATATAAAAATTTAAGCTTCACATATTAGATAGCGAAAATGACATATATAACTTACTAGAAAACTAAACTTTGTATGAGAAAGATCTAATTTCTTTTCCTTTTATTCCAAAAAAATAAGGTATAAAAAATTTTTCTCCGAAAAACCAAGTTTTTAGAGTTCTCCCTATCATTAGAAGGAAAATAAAAAACTATAAAAATAAATTTGTAGAGAAAAATTAATTTTATTTTCCTTTTATATCCAAAAAAATAAGTAATAAAAATTTTTCCGAAAAAAAGTTTAGTCCCTTATCCTTTTTTTTTGATTATTTATTAATAAAAAAGATACAAAAATAAATTTTTTAAAAAAACACTTCATCACATGATACGGGAACGTAGGCAATACGTCAATTTTAAAAAAAGTAGAATATCCACGTATTTAGGACACACTACACTAATTAAGTATAATACATTAATATTTTAAATAAATAAACAATCATTTATAATAAATCATAAACATAAAATAAAAAAAAATACTTCATTTCTTATTTCAATATAATTAGTTAAATTCTCAAAATTATTATCACTATTGAAAAGTACATTAATAGTGTGTGTGCACTTTTTGATGCAAGTCATACTAGGGGTGTCAATATGGGACACGACATACGAACATGATTTACCTAACATGCGAAATAAATGGATTATGGTTGAGGTTAAACGAGTCCGTGTCATAAACGAGTCACTCATTTATGACACGAATATAAACGTATTGTGTCGTGGGTTAACACTTTAGGATTTGAATTTGTTTCAGTCAAATAAATCCATATCTTCAAGGGATATTTGTTTTGTTTATTCTGATTTGTTTGATTTCCTACTGATTTCCAGTTTAGGTTACTACGTGAGGTGTTATAAAAGCCAGTTTCTGCAAATCAACAAAACATAATTTCTCCTCATCTCTTCTCTATCTGCAAATCAACAAAACATAATTTCTC